TGATCATCATACTATTGTTGTCGAGGTTGCTTCGCGGTCTACTAACTTTAGACACCTATTCTGTGACGGTTTCGGCCCACAGGGGTGCATCCTTATCACAATAGACTAAATTCATCATATAAAATTGCACTAAACTCCTAAAGAGGTAAAAGTAACCCTTACAAATTCCGAATATTGCTAAGTACGAAGAATACTTTTACAAAATGCTCCGCGGTGAGACGAAGCAGTGCGCGGGGTGGGTCGCGGTGCTGGCGGGGGAGAAGCCTTCAGCAGACGCAGCCGCCTTCGCTGCCTTCTTGCTCGGAGCCCATTGGAGACTGTGTTTGGAGGTCCACCGCTGGGACAGTGAGTGAAGGATATACAGCAGTTGTAATAGTGGTGGTAATTAGTGATTTTTAATTCTTACCTAAATAAATTAGAAATTAAATTTAACAAGAATTGGGAGTTGCCGCAGTTAACACCAGTACATCTATCTACCTTGAATCTGCATTGTTGAATTTACTGGCCACCGCGTAGAATATCCCGATGACAAATTTAAATTCCCCTTGTGTCCGCTGGGGGCGCTGTTCAATTTGACATAATATCTAGACGGTAGCAAGCGATCTATGCTTGTTACTGACATAAAACATAAAAGTTCATGTTGTCTGTCGACGAAATACCAATAGTATCGATCAGCGATGATCAATCAACGCGCCGTTGTCTATTTTTTTCGACCGGTTTTTTATACTTCGCACATTTTTATGTGATATTATATATAGTAAGAGAAAATACGAGCAGCTGCGCCTCTGCCACACTGGTACGTATTAAGATTCGATCTCTGTTGTCTAAAAATATAAATAAAATACATAATAATGTTTTAAGGATTTTATTCAAAATATTATCAGCGTGAGAAACGGGTATTTACACGGTACACATACTTTGATACACTAAAAATGCATATTGTTTATTAACACTACACAACATAACGGATAACATGTAAAAAGTACATACGCGATGTTATGTAATATAAAAACATTATTAAGTGTAAATAATTGTTTCAAAATTAGTACAAGGCATGAGCAGATCGGGGTCATGAGCAGAGCGGGGTATTGAGCGGTAGCGGGGCGATTTAAGGCCCAGCAAACTACAATGGGAAAAGCGCTAAACGCCTAATATACTAAATATAATTAATTACATGCTTCAAGCCCAAGTACGCCCACAGTTTTTTACTATATGATCATATATAGAGCCAAATTTGAATACGCTAGTTTCTTATAATGTACACTGGGTGTTACGTGATAATAGGAATAATATTGTCTGGGTCCGAATCATTTCACATATTATGTACACTTTAATGTACTTGGGGCCTTAGGAAGATAATACATTGTAGTCCATCACCACGCTTCTGCGTGTCCGGGATATTAAACATTAGCTACTTAATACAGTTAGTGGACCTTAATTTCTGTATAATACGGGCTCCGTTTCCGCTTATATTAATTCTCATCATATTTCATCATAAAATCGTAATTTTCACTTTTTTAACTGCTCTCGACTTTTATTTTAAATGAAACAATACAGTCAAAATAACTTACAAAAATAAATTAACCAAGAATTATTTACTTTTTTTTATATATTATTTATAATAAAAAAATAATCTATCGACACGACCAATTAAAAAAGATGTCCCTTTAACATAAATAATACAATAACTGTTAATTTTATTAAAAAAAAGGCTGGAATGACAATTTGTAGGTTACTACTGTAATTTATTTATTATTATTTTTTGTTATACTGATTTTAATAAAAGCTCGTGAAAATCTCACTATTAATAAAATTAAATAATGGTACTAATAATATAAGAATCATAAGATTTCTTCCTTAAGCACTAGATAAATAAATAATCCTATTTTACAAGGATCATGGTGCCTTTTCATACTAATCGAACTCAAAGTTATAAACATTTTCCGGCAACTACGGCTATTGATGTGGCAGGTCAACAAATGTATTGGAATAAAAATTACCGACAACTCACGCGGCGCAGGTTTTTATGTTTGTTAATGTAGTTCAAAGGCAGCATGATCTCGTGCTATATACAAAGAGCAGCTCTCACTTATATCGTTTCTAAAGCTAACACTTATTGCATTATGATTTAATGTATGTTATTTATGTCATTCAGTAAAAAAACGCTCATTTATAGTTAAAAATAGGGTTTCGTTTCGCTATTGCAAAAACCCTAAATATATTGAGCACCAAAATAATTTTCAGTTATATTAATTATCTGATTTATAAAGATTAAATGTGGATTTAGTATTGTTCTCTCGACTTTAAATGGCTAAATTCATTTCTTAGTGCAAAAGGGCACTAAATTTTAAGAAATTAAACTCTTAATTTTATAATAAGTAATTGGACAGATTTTAGAACAGACTTATAGAATACAGGTTGATTTAGTTTTAGAAAGCATTGATGGTAGAATTTTCAGTCTTGCACGACTAAAAATTTCAAATATCTACCAAAAATGAATATTCTGCACCGAAAACCCAGTTTTAATTGACACGCGCACAATCATAACACATGTGACAAAATCGCAGCAATAAGAGCTTTTGTGTATTCATAAGCCCTTTTGCAATGCTGGTGGATGCCAATAATTGATAAGAATGTATATCAGTAATAAATAAGAAATGCGGGAAAAAATATTTAGGTAGTCTTTTAAACACCCGGTTCAATATTATCCAATTTACCAATTTATATCGGCAATATTTTAAAAATAAGAAATTCTTGTTGGTAGGAATTGTCTGCTGTGGCTTTTTAAGTGACCCTGTTACGATATTGATATAGCAACGTAAATCTTAAACTGCACAATGCCTTAGATTTTAACTTATTTTTGCATATCGCCACAAATTTTTCAGATGTTGTTAGCAAAAACCTTATGTCCAGATTCTCAACTGTGGATCTTTATGAAATCTACAAATTTGTCACAAAAATAAGCATTGCAAGAAGATAGAAAATTAACACCACTGACACACACAAAAGCACGTGAAGCATTCTTCAGATCGGTTTTTTCGGCGTTCAATTTCTTTCAGAGACTTCTAAACGACGTTTTGCCCATTCATTTTGAAAATCATGTGAGTTATCACATCTACACACTTCCCATCTTATCCTGCGATAGTGAGAATGTATGCTATATACGATATAATTCCGAAATCATTTCTTCGAAAGTAACCTCAATTTACAGTGAATTTCTACTAATTTGTCATATAATTTTGACATAAAAAGTTATTTGTAAAGAAAATAATTCATTTTCGTCTAAATTATAAATTACGTCCATTAGCGTTGCATGCATCTAGTATATGTATAACCAGAAATAGAAACGAAATGTCATTTAATTTGTTTGAAAAATATTCTGCCATATCATTACTGTGACAACTGCGCTCCGATTGGCTAGCCCGAGTTCAAAACAATTGACGGGTGTCGTCAATGGGTGTCATCAACTGTTTCACTTCAAATCGACCAGTTAACAGTGAGCTTTGCTATAATGGACGAAAATTGCAAAATTACATATTTAACATTTAATTACCGATGAAATGTGATTCCGTTTGTTTTGTAATTAGATGTTTTGCTGTTCCCACACCACCGAATGGAACAGCCCTCATTGTTAAAGATATTATCTTTATTACAATAAATACAGAATATTTTTGGAATATACGGAGACGTACGCACAAGTTAGTTGTTAGCGCTGTACTATTTCCGTTTTCTAATTTGTGATTTCGAGAACGAACGAGAGATGACATTTAAAAGTGATATAAGGGGCCTTATATATTTATCTGATGAGTTGCCAGGGATAGATGGCCCATATTTCGTCTCTTTTTCTGGTTATATACCCGATGGTTGCATGAGACGATATTGCTATCACATCACACCCGCACGAGAAATACGTGTGTACGTATTTACACTGAATAAGCACATATTTATTTACTTTTACCTGCATTTTTCATTCTTAGTTTAAAGATCACTGAAAATCGAGACCACTTATTTCATAATACATATTATATATACATCATTAACAACACTTGTGAGCTCGTACTTAAGGCTCGTGCTGAAGACAAATCTTCACAACTTTACGAGTTATCTGAACTATAGAAAATTAATGTAATTAATAAATTTACACTACGTTAAAGTGTAGTTCTAAAACAACGTTTCAAAATGCGAAAGTTTTCTTAAAACTTTTTTCTTGTTTATTTTTTGCTTTCAACGTTGGAAAGAAAATAATAAACAAATTTGTTTGAATTTATTGTGTCCTTCACCTATATACGATGGTAAAACACGAATGAGGTGCACGAAATGAGCATCGCCGCACGATGGAATGGCCATTTCTGAAGGTCTGGCACACCCTGTGTAACGATCAACGAGTACCTTACACCGATGGACAAATCCTTTTACCGCGATACAGTATACGCCATCGATACGATAAGAAGGTAAACACGAATATAAATTTGCATATGAAGTCATAGCTTTCAAAACACTCTTTCACGTATCCGAGATAGTGTTACAAAACTTTTGAATTATAATTATTGTAACACTGTTCTTAATTTTCTACATCCTAGTCACAGATACTGCCATACTAATACATAAGACCAAACGCGACTTGAAGTTAATACGTGTGAAATATCGGCTCATTTTCTATTCATATCATGTGATATTGTGTAGTCAACGATCAAAGTTCGTGCAGAACGGTACGAAACAATTTTAATGAACAATGAAGTGTGAAATCACCGTTAGGTGCGTAGAGACGCGTAGAGGCGCTAGTGTTGCACACAACACTTACTTATTTAAATTTAAAATTCAGTAGGCAATCACTGCGATTACCGGTCGTGATTGGCCGTTCAAATTCCTACTGCATATCACGTGATATTAAAGCCAAGTGATTGGTCAGATTTAATTTTTTACTGCGTTCTTGACAAAAGATCATGTGACGTCTAGTACTTTCAGTAGACATTATTTTCTTTAACGTGTTAACCATTTTAAGCAGACTTCTGACACCACACGCACAGTCATCAATTCGCGTTAGGCCCGAATGTGGTAAGGTTAACAGGCACAGCCGCCGTCCGGTTCCTTGTTGTCACCAGGCGCCTGGCGCAGGATCACCTCTTGCACTGTACAAATGAGGATTAAGGAAACTAAACTCTACACAAATAAAAACAGTAATTAAATTAAAAAATCAAGTATGTTTAGAAAGTGTGCTTACAGTCTTTTTGAATTGTTCATTAATGTGTTTGAACCCTAAGGGGAAATTTTACTTTTCTTCGCAAGTTCACACATGGTAACAATTTTATTAACTTAATTAATAATGAATAGAATAGAACGCTAGGAGCTTAATTTACTCATGAATTGTTGAAGCTTGACATTTTCATCGTACTGAATTTGCTAAAATTTTAATATCAATTGAGCGACATCTACGTCAGTTGAGGTATGAAGATGCAGTGAGAAGGGTTTTCAAAAATCTCTCATCAGATGTCACTAGCGGCGACGAATGCCGAAAGCCAGTACAAAGATCTATAACAAAAACACGTTGGAGAATTTCGACAGCTCGGTAACTTGACCTGTGGCTCAGTTGGTAAGAGCAATGCTACGGTGCAGCACGGTACGTGGGTTCAAGTCACACCGGGTCGAAGAAAGAAGAAATTCTGTGTTCGATCTTTGTAATAATAATCATAACAAAAAACCGACTTCAAAAGTTCGTGGAATTACATCTACATATTTGCCAAGTTTTATTGAAATCGGTTACCCGAAAGTGAGGGAAACCGGATTCATCACCTAGTGTGCCACTCTTAGAGGTGGATTATTTTCTTCAAATTCAAATGGGACCACTACGGAGATCCTTTCAACAAAAAAAAGTATCATCAAAATCGGTTCACAAATCCTCCTTGTTTTGAAGTCGGTTAAAAACGAATGGAGTTATGTCACCAAAAATTTCAATAATACATTTTAAAATCAAGTTTCTCTCTTTTGTTTACGAGAGAGTGGAGAAAGTTATGTGCCCAAAAATCAAATCTCTCAATTCAAAGACTGTGAACAGTGGGAAAAAAGGTCGTTCATTCGGGACACAAATCAGAATACTCATAATATTCTTTGTAAACATCAATTAGTTTAGTAAAATCCTAAGTAGAATGAACTAGTTGTTAGTAGATCTTCACTTTAACCATTAATAATAATCAATACAAGGCGTTTGCGTTTCTTTTGAAAATTCGCACATTGGTGTGTTCACTTATATAAAATCAAGATTACTAGGCAACTTTACCATGAACCTTATGACAATGGCATTAAGGTGCACTTTTCAATAATAATGAAATACTTTTGAATAATGCATCTTAAATTTATATCTCGGTATCAATATATAATTTCCTTAAAACTTGAAACACACAGAGAACGGGTGCGGGTCGGGCGCATGTCGGGTCGGGCGCACGGCGGTGTTAATTAAAAACGTGTATTTATATGGACGACAACACACTTGCGCCCGTCTCGCGCCCGCTCGTGGTGTGTTGTCGTTCTCCTGACCCGACAAGCGCCACACCCCTACCCACTGTCAGTGTGTTTCACGTTTAAATTCAAATTTTTATATTACGCCTTGCAATTATTATGGAACTAGTGACGTATCCCGTTTGACCGTTTTTCAAATTAAAAACAATTATAATGAAACCGAACTTGAACGAATCCATTTTCAAAAATACATTCTGAACTAGAACGAATCCATTTTCAAAAATACATTCTATTGTTAATGAATAGCATGCAGAACATTAATGTAATATAATTTAAATAGCAATAAATTGCCAATATGCAAAAGCGACAAAAATGTAGGTACACAAACAAAATGTAAAGCGACAAAATACAAAGCAACCAAAGTATATTTATTTCATGCAAATCTTAAAGCACTTTTGGAAGACTGACCCCGTTTCATTATTTTTGACAACGTAATTAATAATAATAATGTGCCAGACAACCACATCAATGACTTGGTCTTAAACTGGAAAATTCCCAAAACAGAGTAACAAAACAAACTCTGAGGCAAAACAAACTATTGCACAAAATACCCAGACCAAACCCAATTCAGAAAAGAAATCTACCTATTTTCAGGGTTCGAGGTTAGAACAGTGCTAACTGCTCGATCAATCAGCACAGGTCTACACTTATGGCCACAATTTACTTACTTTACTGAATTTTAATTTAATTTAATAAAATGCAATTAACTTTAGTAAATTTTTATGTACTTCAGTAAAATTTAATTTAGTTCAGCGAAATTAAAGTAACGTTAGTAAAATTTGATTTACTTTGGTACGACTTTACTTATTCACTTTATTTTAACAGACTCCGTGACCGAACGGTTACCATTCTGGTCTGCCACGCACAGGTCCCGAGTTGAGTTCCCGGACCGAAAGAAATATTTGTATGGCTTACATTTAAGTCTCTCATCGTGACTTTAGATGTAATTTGTGGTTGTCTACCTATGTGTGTGTGTCCATGGCACGATTACCGTGATACAGGATTTCCTAGTGCGGAGCTATGAGTGTGTACGTTATTTATTTACTTAATTAAATATTACTAAATTTAAATTGCTACTGCAGTAAATTAGTAAGTGATGCGTAGGAGTACATTGCTTGGTCAATTTAAAATATTGAGTATACACCAACTCATCCATATCCTAGATGACTGACAAATGTATAGTAACTGAATAAGACGTACGCTCTTATTCAACGTTCAGAAACATGCTCCACTAATCATGTTCACTTTTTTATATAGCAAGATAACTCATTGATTGAACGAGATTGACATGAGCCAGCTCTAGACGACGTGCTCAATCAAAAATAATTTTGTCACTCGAAAGGTATTTTCAATTACAACAGAACGAGAAATAATTTTTACTTGACATGCAATAAAAAAAGGAAGCATAGTTTTGTTTTCAAACATATCATATAAGTCTTCAAGACTCAGCTACGATGGACTAAGGAATACGTACAACGTACTAAAAATAAAGAAGCATGACACTAACAATACAATTTAAAAAGTCACAATGTTTTTCTTCACTACAAATCATTTACTGTTCCGTTCACTCACATAGCTCCGTCCCTTTTATTGCCTAATTTAGCATTAAAGAGACTCGTGCATTTTTAATTTAATTTATAAAGTGTGTGTTCTAATTGAAATAGCTTTACCGCCGAATTCAGTCTTCCTTGTTTATTGACAATGGCAGTAGTAAGCAGACAAGACATTGTATTTATTATTATTATATTTAGTTTACATTATAAATAGATTAGTAACGTTAAGTTTACTTACAATGGAACAGCTGTTAGACGTTATTACCACCACCGACACAAACGGGCCCGGGGCACGGCACTAGTTCACTGCACAGTTAGAGATCAACTATGGTTACAATTATAAATAAGACAAACTTGTATCTTACCGTAATAATGTTCAAAAGGTAAATTTGTTATTACATGTATATTGGCAACCCTGTATATTAAGGCCCTTCTATACGGTCGAGT